GCAGCAGGCAGCAGGCAGCAGCACCCGTGCTACAGCAGTACCACACATCGTACTTGCCCAACCGGACGCGCAGCTTACCTCTGGGTTATTAGCAGCCGGGTTGGTGGTGGCAGAAGAACGTGTCCTCAATCCCTCATGCGAACCCTGGATGGCGGCGATGACGGGGCAGGACATAACCCTGTCTGCCCCGCAACCCCCGCTTCCGCCGCCTTGTGGTATGCCGTTCTTCCGAGCTGCGTTTCGCTTGCCCGCCATGATGGCGTCAGCCTTTTCGCGGGCCAAGTTGGACAAAACCACTTCGCTAGCCTCGCAGTAGCCTGTGTTCTCCGCGGCTTTTCTGCCCTTCCTCTTGCTGTCCAACAAGGTGGTGCGAAGCTTGATTCCTCGTTCGTGTGGGGACCACTTGTGGATAACCTCGTATCTTGTTTGGCCAGCATACATGATGCGTGTACATTCGCCAGCGGCAGTCACCGCTGGGCCCTGGCCGCGCAGCATTTTCAAGCCCGCTTCCCACCACCACTTTTTGTCTGACCAACTTTCTGAGTGGCTCTACCCCCCCTAATTCGACCAAGCGGAATCGATTGGCGACGATTCCCGTGGCGAAAAAGTTCGGCAATGCGGCGAAAAAAAAAGTTCGGGCTGAAGGGGAACTTTTTTTTTTTGGGAACTTTTTTTAAACGTCGTTTTTGGGCGTTTGAGAACGATCTGCGAAGTCAATTTTTTTTTTTTTCTTCTCCGAGGTGGGAAAGGTGATTCGTCTTTAGCTCGGAACCCGCCAATATATGATAAGACGGCCTCGGACGGTTCTCTTTCCCGCGCTTGCAGTACTTCGTCGACACTGGTATGCGTGTATGCTATAGACTAGACTACATTCCCGCACTATTGACAGCACCGGTTTTCCTGTCCCCGCTGTCGGAATTTTCGCCGTCACCACTGCTGCTGACTCGCCAAACCAGCCCCTACCGCCCTTAAGTCGGGACACGCGCGGGCAAGAGCCACGGCCCCACCGAAGGCGCGATAGAAACTGACAGCTTGGAACGCCGGTGACGCGAAGCAAACGTACGCCGTCAAGCGAAAGCGCCTCCGGCAGCCATCACCACCAGCAGCAGCAGTCCGTTTCACGTCACCGGAAAGGCGTGATAGAAGTCGAAAACAGGGGACGTCGGTGACGCGAAGCAAACGACGCAATCAAGGCGACAACGCGAACAGCAAGCAGGAGCAACCCGTTGGACGCAGAATAATACCCGCGTTCATTTCGCGTCACCGGCGTTCCCGTGTTCCGTTTTGAACGCGCGTTCAGTGGGTCGTGGCTCTTGCCCGCGTCTCGGGCATGATTTGCTGTACTTTACAGCAGTAGTAGTTGTACCAATGGCAAAATGGCTCCGCCCAGTTGCGCGATCCATCGAGCCCTGCGTATAAGCGCGTCCGGCCGCCTCGTCGTTGTCCCTCCCTGCGGTCCTCCTTGACACAACACCACGAAAAAACAAGCGCCAATATGGAGCCCTCCGTAGGGTCGGGGGTGCAGTGGCTATGACCTTTCACCGGAGGCTGGATAGTTATTTTTGGAGTGTGGCGAGGAATACCACCAAGCGGGACCTGGCAAACTCAGTCAAGCTAGGGTGGAGTGGAAAGTTGGGAAAGCCTCGATGGACTCATTTCAAAGATGAAATATCACTCACTCGAGGCGGTGAGAAGTGGCAGAGTACCTGGTGGCAGAGTTCCAGGTAACGTTCTTAAAGAACAGTTAAAATGAACCCATACGTTGATCGCAGGTCTTTTCTCATATTGTGTATTACATGAATATGCGGTGTGTCTTACTGCACGAACATTTCATATCCTGACCTCCACACAATGGGGACAAGTATTGCCTCGTAGAATCGTTAGACTTGTGTTACCAACACCGCGTTGTTGTCTGGATACCCTGTCCTTCGTTTGTTCCTGCTCTTTCTGCTGCTGCCCACCAAAAAACGACACGCAGGCGATCGAAGTTAGCGATAATCTCTCATCGTCTCCAAGAGAAACCCCGTCCACTTGAAGGGCGTGAACTTCCACGTGCACGAGAAAGGCTACGCTGACGTTTGGCTTCTCCATTATGCTCGCCGAGAACCTCAAGGTACCCGTGTTTGTCTTGACCCTTTGTCTGTCTATGTAGGTTGGGCTCCAGTGTACACACACGGCGAGCGACAACTTCCGAGCAGAGAGAGGGAGAACGGCGGTGCCGACTTTCTCTCGATCTCGCAAGTACGGAAACAAACGCGGAAACGGCTCCAAACGTAGCGCGAAGATAGTCTCGGGCGGCAAGAAACACAGCCAGACCAATCGCGGTTCCCTGGACAATGGTCGTGATTTTTGTCTCAGGTTGGATCTACGCATGGCGGGTCGTAATGGTCGTGGGAGTGCGAAAGGTACACGCCTCTAAGTTGAGTAGCTGATAATTGTTGTGATCATCAGGTGTCACAGGAGCATAGCGCTGGGGTAAGTACAATAATTCGATTCAGCATTGCGGCAGATCGAGGAGGGCTAGGGTATGTCTCAACGTACCCTAATCCATGACGGATCCCAAATAGCTCCGTCTAACTCGTGTATAATTGGCACGGTCCAATTGAGCGGAAGGAACTGAAACCAACCGCTAAGAGCAACCCACTTGACAACCGAGACTGAGTCTGCGCATCTCTCGTGAGATTTTAAGGGATATCTGCTGTTGGACCAGCTTGGTTGGTCGGACGTTTGGATTCTGGATTAGACTAAGGCGTGAGTATTGCTGAAAGAAAGCCGACGAATATATCGTCTACATTGCTACAGTAGTCCAGAACTATTCTTTTTTGTGCTCTACGTTCAGGCTTGATAACGGAAGCGGGGAGGGACTCCTTATGTATGCAAGGGGCGTGAAGACACGACAGGTGTACCGGCACTTGAGGCATTTCGAAGACCGCCAACAATAACAAGCTTGAGAATTCCAACCCCGTTGATACCCCAATAATGAGCTTAGCTTGCGTCGCGGAAGGTCGCCTTGGGAGAGCTGACGTGTCCGGACAAACTGGAGTCCAGCCGGTGGCCATTCAGGCTAAAGTAAAGGTAAACAACCTTCAGATAGCCGTTACATTACCGTGACACAAGAATAGGTGACAAGGGCATCGTTTTCCCAATCGTAGAGAAATATTGCAGTACGCCACGCACTTAACAGAGTAAAATGCGGGTGAGAGAAGTCTTCTGTTGACAAACTTACCGAGGTTATCTCGGCGAATAGCGCGGAATGGTGAACGAAACACCTACGGTTTGTTCACTGACTGCTTCTTGTGACAAGTGAAGGCAGTTGTTGAAACACAACGTAGCACGAGCACTAATGGGGAGCGTGTCGGACTGCATCGAAGGATCCGTGTAGTAGGAATATATCCTACGTCGAAGTACCAACTGAACGCTTTGTGGATGCACAATGTCACGTTGTGCTCCGAGATTGTAGATGAGTTTGTAGCACGTTTCCGTTCAACACGCATTCGTCGGATGGAAATTGTAGCGAACGGATTGTACCATTGATTATACCGAGATATCTCGGGGATGGGATGAGCCCAAGATGGTTCACTGCAGAACGCCTCCACCACGCCAGACTTCTGCAAGTGAGCTAGGCTCAGATACCACCTGCGGGAATTGATGAAAGTCCCGTGTGGCATCAACAAACGAGTATGACCTCTTCGGTCGCTTGAACATCTCGGTTCAACCGCCTTCCGCGCGACTCTTGGGTTGCACACCTCGACACAACTCACAAGGAAAAAAATTCATTAAGATATCAACACCTATGGTGGGCTTCCTTGCGCAGGAAGCTGTTGAATAGGGTGCAAAACAGAGCAGGACTCTGCCACCATCGCATTCGCAAAGTCTTCGTCATGCTACAAAGGAAATGGAGTATCATCGCTTCCTCCATAATGTAATAGTGAAAAAGGAGGAAGCAACTCTTGGAGACACAGGATCCATGCCATCCATGAACCAAACATCACAAGAAACACGCATATATCGAAACTTCAAACCAGCTACATCTACTTCGCACGGGTAAGCGTTGGCCGGGCACGGTTCAGCGATGAATTCTCTACATCTCTGAGAACTAAACGATATTATGGGACTTTGTATATCCCAGCACGTAGCAGCAGTAACTGGCGCCCACCGACGCTAGTCGATGTGATTGCTCGTAGAGCTTGTAGTAGCAGAAGGCAGTGCACAAGAAGATGATGAGATATAATGAACAAGGCGCTTAGGTGGCCAACACAGTCAGATACACCGACGGACGGTTGTAGTCTAGGTAGTACGCCGGCAGCATCCAATGTACGACAAGGACAGGTAAATTTTTCAGATATTCCGATAGATCAGAGAGAGCTCCCAGAGAGTGAGGTCGAACACCGAACGTCCTATCGTCGAGACAAGAGATAAACTACGACACGCTGTATTTCCTCCGAATGCGCTTCGTTCCAACCAACGTAAGATAACTACATGAACAGGGGTACTGAACACTGACTGAGAAAGGGTATACGTAGACACCTACAACAAAAGAGGCACTGAAGGCACAGCAAAGCCCGTTTGAATGGGCGGGACACCAGACTCGCACTCCAAAGGCATCACAGCTAAATTAATGTTCGGAACACCAAACGCCTCATGTGCGACCCATGCGAGGTGGGCTGGACACCAGATGCTGAAGGCACGTGCTTGCTACAGTACTGGGGGGAGGGGTGGCGGATGCCATGACTCTATAACCCTCGCCAGAGCAATCTTCATGGGGGTAAGAAAGGGCACATGGATGAGTCAGAAACAGCTACCGTGATCTCGACGGGAATAAAAGGGGGCAGTCACGTAGCTGAAAGCACGTAAACATGCTCATGACGCGGAAGTGCACCGTCAAGATGTCCCGTCCATACAAGGACCCCTGTGCGCGGTGCAGCTAGAGAACTTTGAATTTCATTCCTGTATCAAAAACAAATCAGACAGCTGCACGCGAACTTCGTCTGCACCAGTTTCAGTGGGGGGTGGTAAAAAACAAAGATCGAGGCTCCTTACACCTAGCACTCCCGCAATCCCCATTCCCAATCACGCCGCTCTGTTTTCCCGGCGGTGCAGGCCTGAGATTTAACCGTAGTAAGAGCGCGACACCCAACTGGCAGTCCACCATGCTCGTCTATGCTCAAACCCGTATCCCCACCGATCTTTGCACTACCACCACCGCCCGCCTCCGCCATTCCCGGAAACGGAACGCACTCGCCTGTAGATACACAACGTCATAGGGTGTGCAACACACCCGGAGGCAACGACGAACCACCGGGAACGGGTGAACGGGTCCGGGCAAAGGGAGGAAGTTGCTGGTGCTCCGCTTGTACGGCGGCTGGCCCATCGTTTTAATAGTCGTAGTTGCTGGTGCCGTGGGTAGTGTTCTCGTGCGGCGGGTATGCGTAGTAAGTAGCCGAAGGGGTGGCCGTTGCAGATGTGGCCGTTGCTGTAGTGCTGCTCCGCGTCGCCGCCGTAACACGGTGCGGAAAAGGTTCGTTGGGTCACAGTGGCGGTACTGCTGTACTGATGCGCGGGAATCGCCTGTGGCCACGGTTGCTGTTGGCCGTTAGAGGGCGGGCAAGGGGGGGGTGGTTGACCATGCTCCGCGTGCTTACCCCCACCCCAGCTCCGCGGTTGCCCCCTCCTCTCAAGCCCACCAGGCCCACGCCCTCCTTGATGATACTCGTGGCCTCGCCCTGGTCCAGGTCCTCTTATCCTCCTCCTGAACCCGCTGCCGTTCCCTCTACCCCCATTTTGGACACCTTCCCCGTCCCGGCCACTGCCGGAAGCGACGGGGTCGTACCCTGCCCCATCCTGGTCATCCCCCTCCTGCTGGATCTGCACATCCCCGTGCTCGTAGGCACTTGTGACCACATCCTCGACGCTTTCTATCGTTAATTCTTGGGAGAGAAGAATATCCTTCATAACATTGAAAGCAGGGGCTAGGTTGCGGACCAAATGCCTCTGAGGATCGGGGAAAGTCACACCAAGCCAAGCCAGCCGGCCTCGCAATACCGCAAACCTATCGAAGTACGACTGTGGAGACTCGTCGCTTTCCATGCGAACTCGCGATATTCGTCTTCCAAACGAGACTTCTCTATTGCAGCGCGACGTTCGTAGTACGTGCAAAATATCTTCCACCCTCACTTGGGCTCCCCGCTGCCAAAATCTGCGTGAGAATCGGCATAGTCTAAACGTGATCGATGAAATCAAAATGTTCCACGCCTTGGTTGATCTCTCGATCAAGTCTTCGGAAAACTTTTCTCGAATAGAGTCAAGGTCATCACCACCAGTTAGTTGTAGGTCCTACCCTGATGGGCAACTCACGAATTACCACATCCGTCAAGCCCTCCTGAGCAAATATCGCCAAAAGAGTCGATTTGAAAACCAAAAACCTCGTCTGCAAGTCCTCCTCCCTCTCTGTCACCCCCGTCCAAGGCTCTACACACAGCTCGAGACCTTGCGGTGTCAAACGCAACATGCCTGCACCAACACGACCCTCATGATGATGTTGTTGATGTTGAACGCCGAGTCCCGCCGTGATAGCTCGCGCGAGTGCATCAACGATTCCGTCGGAGGGAGAAGCTGCTGCTGGAGAATTTCTCGGAGTATCTGCTGCCGTCCCTGGTATCACTACTGGAACGCTCGTGTGGGTTGCTGCCTCTCGCGATCCCGCTGGAAGGAAGGCCTGTCGGGCTGGTGTCGCCGCCTTCGAGACATGATGTTCCTCGCTGATGCGTTGAACTTCTCTCTTGTTGTAGTCCTCGATTCCTTGACTTACTCCCTTAATCACCCCCTCTTTTATGCAATACTGTAATGCAGTGAAGTCCATGACGACTCTCGCCGAACCCCAAGTTTGTTGAGTGAAGGCACCACCAGGAGATAGACGAGCTGGCTTGGCATGACCATGATGATATCAGCCGGCGGGGTGTGTGTGAAAAATAACCGATTTGTGTGACCCCCCGTCTGACAGCTGGGAGCCCATCATCCTGACTGACGCCAGCACCAATGAGACGAATATTCAGAAAAAGCCTGTGAAGAAGTGGCCGCTCTTCTGTGCAAGTCTAGGATGGAGCAGAGAAGAGAACTCCCTGAGCCCCGCTGCAAACGAATGTCATGGTTCAACAGGTACGATGACCCGAGGAAACCGCGCAGAAATTTCCCACACCCTCACCACCGAGGATCCGACCGCAACCCCGGTCGATACATACATACATACGTATCGCCTTGCGCCGGAGCTATCCGACTGCTGAATCTAGTGCGTCGCCTAGATTACTACTGTAGTGGCGGCCGGGGAGACGGCCGTCGTTGCGGACAGCTCACACCTGAAGCGGCGGCGGCGCCACCACAGCAGCATCGGAGGTGTTCGAGTTCTCCGACGCTAGCAAAAAGAGGGTGACATGGGTAGGGGCGGGGCACGTCCCTGCACACAAACCGTCTTGGCAATGAACGATGAAAGTAAAAGGGCAGCGCTTTTCCTGGACCCTCGTCGGGCGAGAGGGTCGGCAAGCGAGGCTTTCAAAAACTGTCTCGACCGAGTGTTCTTCACCCCATGTATGCATACTATTTCGAAGTATACAGCAGCCAAAATCACAGGGTTGGCACCACCGCCGTACGGTCGTACCCCCGTGCCAACTCTTGTAATGTCGACAGCCGCGTGCTTACACAATCAGAAACAATAAACGGTGGAATTGCATATGTGCTTCGATCCGCACTGCAGTACTTTTTTATTTATAAGGTTGATCGAATGCGAAGCAGCAAGATTGGCCAAACGGAAAAGATGATGACCACAACACTAATAAACTTGGGGAAGCGAATGAGTATTTTCAATCCCATGCGAGTCACTTGTTTCTCCACTGAAGGCCCAAAGATCCAGGCCCGTGGCCTTCTACATGGTACGTTTTCGATGCTCAGGAAATGGAATCCACATCGTTCAAACCGGATATTCGTCATCTCTAGTCGGCAACAAATGTGAACACAACTATTATAGCAGACTCAGCAACATCATCCACGGCAGCGTACATCGTAAACAGGTTCGCATTGATCAGACAGCCCACCCTACGCACGGTTGCCAACCATTTGCTGCATCTACACTCTGCACCCCAAACGTTGGCCTCGGCCTAGAGCACTTGCTCGGGCTGAACCATGTTGAATGTCAGAACTTCAGAAATCAGGGTTGCTACATTTGGAACAGCCTCAATATCCTAAGAAACCATAACCATCCTAGCATCCTCCAGATGGGATATGATGCCCAAGGAGTTTGAAGCAACATCAATGCAGAATAATCAACACGGCGGGGCGGTGTGGGTACAAGATCACGAAACTTGTGGCGGCACCCTTTCGTAGCTCCTGTGATATTTGTCGTTCACCTGAACACACCAAGGCGAAAAAAAAGCACCGACGGATTTACGAAAGGGTTGAGCGTGGCGGGCATGGGTACTGCCAACATTCTTGCGGAACACTCGACCGCCCCAAGAACCGCACCTTGTCGTGCCGCCTCAGAAAGGACGCTGACTCTCAACATTGTAACCGTTTCGTATTTTCGCCGCGCGCAGGACGTCTGATGCCTCGTTCTGCTATATGAACCGGCTGCTACCGGCTTCACGATGGTAGCGGTTCTGTGACCTTCACATACTTCATGACGAAGCAAGAAACGCTGGAAGACGAAGCCGTCTCTGTACCCTAAAAAAACTCCAAGAATTCGTGCATACAGATGTACCTGCGAACACCAACATGAGCAAGGAGCTAAGTCTCGAAAAGTCTCGCTTCGCTCAGGAGACAAGAAATCCTGTCTAAAACATGTGACGCTTTGTACGCGTTTGCCGCTCTAGAGGCTTTGTTGCTAATTGTCGTGGACCTGCATGAAAGTGCGGCGGCACGGCCAGTTGCCGATCCTCATACATTCTCTCTGGCGTACTTGCCACGAACACACCGCCTCACCTCGGTCAGGTAGAACGTTCCCGGGAACAGCGCATCCGCCGCCCCGCTAGGGGTATACCCAGCCTTCCCGTACGTCTGCTCCCTCAGGTTCATAGCCTAAAGCAGGATGGAGCAAGGGAAAGGGTAGGATTCACACGAAGGCAGAAGAAGCGTGAATCCGCCACAGAGGGTGATTGTGCCGCCCGTCGTGGGAGCAAGAAAAAGTCAGAAAGCGAGGAAGCCAGGGGATCCTGTACTCTACGTGCACGCTATGAACAGCTACACTCAAAAAAACTTTTGTGGAGAAACAAGAAGATAAACTTTCCCCCATCAGCAACACCCACCCGACAACAAGAGAGGCCGGATTCATGTTACCATAGACATTTTGGGTGAAGAGACAAACTTCGCAACATAATATGGGTACCGGTTAAACCGTGGTGACGTCGTAAAAAGAATGCCCTCCGAATGGACGGCTTGCCTGTGCGAAGTCCTCGGGCGTACGTCCAAGTCGTCTCGCCAGGCGGTCCTTGATGCCCATGGCCTCCTGCATGCCTCCGAGAGAGAACTGCCCTCTGCACGTAGTTGGTCGCCTCGCCTTGAAGCTGCGAAAAAAACGGAAACAAAGAAATCAAGAGGTCAATCTCTATTTTTTCGCACCACGAGGTGTGATGGATAACCTGGATTCGTCCTGAGATATTGCGTCCCGATTACTGAAACATAAAAAAGATGGCCAAAAACAAAACACAACAACGCATATACAAACAAATCAACGAATCCGTCTCTATCCAAAGCAGATGAGGGTCCGGGATAACTTACAAGAAATCCGTCGCGTTAACGGAAGCACCAACAGCGTTTCTTTTTGGATGGGCCAAAAGCTGACAAAACAGAAGGTGGAAAAGTGCAGTATGAACCCGATCAGCATTGCAAGTGAATGGGTGTCATGTGTGCGTATTACGGTTTTGATATCGATAACTCCACTCGGACTCACAAGCAAATTTCATCCGTCGCAAGCGCGTCGTTGCAAGCATTCCGGCCCATTTGTGGTTGCCGCCAAAACCTTCGCAATTTTTCCTTGCGTGGTTCCTGTCCTTTCTTTTCCACTCTCTGCAAGGTCCCAAGAAGAAATGACTTTCAAGGGTGAACGCAAACAAGGGACAACTACTACACCAAAAAGACGGAGAGGATTCCCATGCGCGTCGTTGGAGAAAGCTGATGCGTGTATTAAATGAAGCAGAAAAAAAAAACTATTATAAGTGTGCAGACCGCTGTTCCCGAGCACAGCTCCTCATTGGAAGCCTCTAGGCACGAAGCAGGACCAACTCGTCGAAGGCAAACAACAACGCTGGTGATATTTTGTTCATGGCTCAACTGCGCCGCCGAGAAGAGGAAAAGCGCACCACCCTCCGTAAAACCCGCTCCGATACAAATACTCGTCTTGAAGATGCGTAGACCCGAATGTTGTTCGACGGCGAGACTGATGATGCTAACTTCAAACTTGTGGCAGAAACGCCACCCGAAAAAATGACAACAGCAACAAGAAAAACAACAACAACAACAACAACATCAAGACAGTATTCAGAACAAGCTCACCTGTAGGCGGTCGCGATGAAGCCGGACCCGTAGCTAAACATGAAGACGCGGGCTCCCCCGCCGTCCTCCAGAGCAGTCCCCTTATCGGCCACCACCGAGACGAGACCAGCAAACACCGAGGCAGTGTAGCAATTGCCCACCTGAGAATGTAGCAGCAGGCAGTGTAAGCCATCCTTTCAACTCATTGAAACCCACGTGTAAGCGGCGCCACAAGTGAACCACTGTGGAAAGCACCCGCCGACACGTCACTCGCCCAAGCCCCCCTCTGCTCACGTGCGCCAGCGCCACCCTCTCCTTCTCAGCCTGCCATCATCGCCTGCGAAGCAAATAGAAACCGGTCAACCCTTTCAACTGTCCGTGTTATCGAACCCTCCTTCCAAAGTGGCCTAATGAAAAGGAGATCACAGCACCTCAAGTTGGCCCCCGCTACCAACGCCCAACCTATCAAGTTGAAGTCCCCTGTTGCCCTGATTACTACACCGCACCGCACGCTATCCAACACGGCACACCTCCCGACCCATCTCCCTCGGGGACCAACCGCCAAGTTACAAGACCTTGCGGCTCCCGGCTGACACACCACATTTGAAACTGGTCCATCTACCGCCAAACAAACCAACGTCGTGAAGTGCGCAGGTCTGCACGTCACCGCTCCGTCTTCGCTAAGCTCAAGCTCGAAAACAACCGCCTACTGTTTGTCTTGCGGAGGACGCCTCGAAAATCAAGAGAATATGTTCAAGGCGGCCTCGGTATCACCATGAAACATCTCCCGCCGCTATCTACCAGCTCGAACCTCTCCTGATCCCCTTCTCCTAGCAGGACATCCAGTCTGCAAACCGCACCTCGCGGCTGACTGTGGACGCCGGAAGACAGCGCGCCTTGAAGTCGCCCGCCGACGCCTTACGGAAGGCCGCCTCTATCTCTCGGTCCGCGTACGTGCCTCCCAGCTCAACCGTGCGCCATCCCTCCGCGGCCGCCGCCGGCAGATCCCGGAACCCTTCCGCGGAAGGGTCCGAGCGGAAATCAAGGAACGACATCCTGGACGTAAGGATGCGGCGCGGAATTGAGTGTCGGGGGGCGGGGGCGGAGGTTGAGACACGGTGACTATTGAAGGCCTTTTCTCCAGAACTGCAACTGCGGCCCGCGACCGACAAACATCCCGTGCTGATATTGCAAAATACTGTGTAGTGCAAAGGCCATTTTGCAAGAGGCAGGTGCTAACGTACCAAGCGAATTTTACGAGTGGAGCAATCACCTGCTGTAATGCAAAATTTATCTACGCCTACCTCAAACGCTTTCGTCATCTACAGCATGTCTGGCGCTGGAGGTAACAAACTCGCTGTAGCGCAAGATCCGCCGTCCACGCTTAACTGCGCGAACTGTCTAACCAAAACGCCACACAAAAGGTTTCAACAACGCGACGGTTCCATTGCACTTTTCACTGCAAAGCCCCCGACACGAGAGGACAACCGCGGCTGCGAGGCAGAACTACAGACAGATGAGACCTGTGCCGACAAACACGGCTAAACGACGGCCCGAACACCTACCTCGCAAAGCCTTTCTGCACCAGCTTGTTGTAAGGCGCGTGAAGGCTCACGAAGTCGAACGAGTCCACCGTCACAGTCGCAGGGGGGGTGGTCACACCCCCGCTCTGCGTCACCCCTGATGCCGCCAGTCTGTCTTGCCTGCGCGCCCAACAAAAAGTTAACGGGATTACTATTCTCTCTCTTGTGTGAATTTTCTCTAACTGCCCCCCCTGTGTTGTGTCACTTGCCCTCGCGAGAAAGTGTTTCCAAATCCAGACACATTCTTGTTCGATGCGTTCTCGCCCCCTCTCTTTTTTATCTCCCGTCTCCGACATTTGAAACTAGGAATGTGCAACACCGAACCCCTTCGCTTGCGCCACCGTCCCCGCGGTCTGAGGGTTCAGCGTGAGCGCTCGCTCCAAAGGCGATTGATCACCTGGCTGCCGCCTTTGCCTTGAAGCCGGCGTAGCACTTGTCCACGGACTCCAAGTATACCGACTGGTTTCGGGTTGTTGACGAGCGGGGATTCGAGGGGAACGCGTTCACGCGCTAACATCAGGCACGACAAGCATGGCCGGCAAGGTGGACGCGCAACCAGGGCTCTTCCCGCGTGAAGCACTCACTCCCGCCGCGGGGATCGAACAGAAACAGCTTGCAAAACACGTGCGCAAGCACGCGCAGATAGTCACGCCTACCCCCCTTCTGTGCTCTATATCGAGGAGGGAGGGGAGGGGGGGCAAGAGGAAAACGGATACTCTAAAAGGTTTCGTGTTCTGTCTTGGCGAACAAAAATACGAAAATAAAGAGAAGGGAAAGCATCCGAACAATGACAACACAAAATAACTCTGCACCCTGGAGACTACAAGGAAAATTTTACCCTTCTCGCAGAAGGATATATCAAGACAACAAAAACAGATGCTCCATTCGCAGTGACGGTGAAGGAAAAAACAACCAACTGAAACTACGGAAGACCGCAAGCGCTTCCCGCACCACGCGTGACATCATTTCCAAGACTGGGTATCTCCGCAGCGCGCACCTGGGACAGCCTCCCGTCGACTTCTGCGTACTCGGAGTGCTTGGGCTTGTAAAAGTCGTAAGCATCTCGGGAGTGAGTCGACCTGGATGCGCAGAACAAAAACCAATATGCAGATGGGCGAGAACACAACAACAAAACAAATAAACTCACACGAATGCGAAAAGAGATAGTAGAAGTTCGAATATCGTTGTTTCCAGAGCGACACAAAAACTAACCGGGGGCACAGAGGGCAAGGCTAGAGAGAGGGGCCTCGTGGTAGTAATCGTGGTGACGGGTGAACACCGACGCCAAGCCTATCATTGCATGGCGCGCCGCCTTGTATTCTTAACGGACGACGAGGCGAGGCGAAGTATCGCACAGTGAGTGGCTTGATGAGCGCCCCCAAGACTCCAGGAACGTGCGGCACATATCGAGCAACAGATAAGTCGAGGTTGACACGCTGACAATAGTGGTGCTACACTAGGGTGGACTCGTTGCCGGATGGGGACATGAACGGTGCGCGACCACAAAACGGCACGGTGACTACCCTGCGGCGCGGGCCATCATACTCCAGCGTACATACCCTATGCGGCAAAGGGTATGGAGACGATTGGGTTGGCGTGAGTACGGCGAGCTGCATCGTGCGTGACCTCTCAGCACTGGCGCAAACACACGACCGTGTCGTGTTGTTAGGGTTTTGTGACATGCGGTACGCACCGGAGGCCCGGCTCCAGGACCAGAGGCGCGTCGGGGCCGACGAGCATCGCCACCGCGCCGCAGCCACCGGTCGGGCGGGCGGGGCCGGCCTCATAGACAGCGATGTCACCGCACACCACCAGGGCGTAGCGACCGTCCCATTCGCTGTCGGGGTTGCAAAAACGACAACAACACGCACGTAGACGAAACGAAGAACAGAGTGACGGAAGGGGCAGGCACAGCACGAGGAACAGAGAGTTTGCGCGGGAAAACGGGGCGCAAAGATAAGCCAAAACAAGGTGCGCGTAGGGGTACCCATGCAGGATGAAGCCCGCAATAAAAGGTTTTCGACAGCCCAGTCTTTGACGAGCAGGGACAAAGAGCACGCGCGCTTGTGATCAGTCCATCTGTCTCTTGTTGACGGGGGGAAGCCAAACCAAACCTGTGGCGCGAAAGCGTACGTGACTTCAACTATTACAACCCCCCCAACCTTGGTTGTCCTTTTCTATTTCGACGCTAGGTGAGTGACCCTCACCCTACAGCATCCAAAACACTACCGCTGGAACACCATCCTCATCATGGTTCCGGGCGCAGAGTTTGCTCAACTATACTAGCAGGGGCCGGACAACCCCAAATTTGTGGTACTGAGGGCAGGATCTGTGCTCAGGACGACGCTACCGGTGGTGGCCGTACGGCAAGAAGTCAAGGGCAAGACCCGGTGGTGGCTGTACGGCAAGAGGATAAGGCAAGGTGAAACCCTCAGGTATTCATGGCACCACTTCGCCTGATATGTGGCTCATAACGAGCCAGAAAAAAGGCTGCGAATTGTACCCCGCCTCCTCGCTCTCTCCATTTGTCTCGCCAGGAGACTGACGCCGTTCCTTGGCAAGCCGGTTTGGAGCGGTCCATGATACTTGAAAAAAAACACACACATATACATAGAGCGTGTTCTCTTGTTATATCCCGCAATGAGCCTGACAGCTGTTCATTAGTCAGCCGGCTATAGCGCGGTCGGCGTTAATCAAAGACGACACACAGAACGCAAGCCTTCTTCCCTTTTCAACGCTCACCTGCTCTCGACCCATGCCACGGAGTTGAAGAGAGCCGCACTGCCGCCGTAGCAGGCATTGTACGAGGTCACGCCCTCCACGTCCGTGTTACTCGCGCCCAGGAGGGGCATGAGCCAGGTCTTGGCCGACTTAGACTTGTCCAACAGCGTTTCCGTTCCGACCTAACAACAGAGGCGGTTTCGGAGTGAGCAGGCGGGAAATCTGGTGAGGGTGGGCGTGGCATGAGTTCACAGCTCTCCCTCTATTCATGTGTGCGCGAGGCACGCAGGACGTCAACGTTGTCATTTCCTCATCGCACAGTAGTTGTCGTTTGTCTTTCAGTGATGAGAGCGTGTGCAGCAACTTCCCGCAACCACACCACGGCAGGTTGGGACATGCGCATCCCCTACTGCGCCCGTCATCCACACTACTGGGTCGTCCGTGCTCCGCATGTGATAGATTTCCCCCAAACTGGGTACCACGGGAGTACTAGGGTCAACGGCAAGGCCAACGAGTCAGAAAGCCATCGCGTTCCACCTCGTACTCGCATCCCCGCTTTCAGGGTGGCTATCAAACCCACTCCTTACCCACCTCAAGCCTCCCAATCTTGGCCGGATCAATGTCGTATTTCTCCAGCAGGCTCTGCATGACCGTCATCAGCACGGAGTTGATGTCTTCCCTGACATGGTCGCGGCAGGTAAACCATGGTGTGTAGCGGTATCCGTCAGCAGCAGCGGCAGCGGCAGCAGCACCGGAAAGTAGATACGCAATGACAGGGGACCAAAATGCTGTTGTACATCAAGCAGCGAGCAAGCACCGGGGCGGAGCCCAGTACGCAGTAATTACTGTATGGTTGGCAAAAGCGGCGAACAAGCCAGACCTAGACCCATCGATGTGTGCAGCACGCCAAAAACACTCTTCGGCTTCTTGGACACCCCCGGGAAAACACCTGCATGTCAACCAATGAAGCACCATGTTGCGCAAGCCACCTCCCCCGAAAGCTTGGTACCCTCTGTTCAACTCCTGTAGGTGACGTGGAGATTCACGAACCAGCGGAAAGGCCGCACAAAACGGTTATGCCATGACAATCATCAGTGCGACCCCCATCGGTGGTTTTCCCCCTCATCCATACACGCCTACCAGACGAGACGACTTCGTTGTTGGAGCGAATCGATCAAGCTTCGCTTCGGACGCACACAGCCGTAAAATGTCTCCACGATAAGGACTTCGCATAACAAAAAATAGACCTGAACGCAGCCCCCCCCCAGCGCTTCCTTACCTATCATCCACGAAGGCCAGCTTGTTCTGCCCGAGCCCGATCGTGTATTTTCCCTCGCAGCCATCGGTCTTCTCCAGGTCCGACTGTCGTTGTTTTCGTTCGAACATAACACCACATTCAAGAAACACGCACAAAACAACACAAAAGCGTTCTCCTTCATGATTAGTTAAGACTGATGTCGTTCCGCTTGTTGGCGAGGTTTTAGCCCTCGTCCGTCCGTGTGTACGCGGGCAAGCATGTACCGTCGTGCCAGGAGTGCTGCCATCCACGTGAATCGGGGAAATACAAGCTCGATGGTGTACATCTAATCGGGAGAGGGAAAGGGTAAGCGGAGTCGAGGGACAGCAGCGGGCGAGGAGTGCACTACTGTACCACGCAAGGACAGTATCTATTTACCTGCGTAGAAGCAGGGTGGATTCGTGTTTGAACTACAGCAGCCCCTGCCTAAACGGCAAATCATCAATGACGTACTCTTTCGAGACTGCACCAGTTTGTAGCAGCAGCAGCAGCAGCAGCAAGCAGCAGCCGCAAAAGGATATTCAGGCGCATGACCGCGCAATTTTTGAGAGCATTCATACTGCTGTAGTTTCAGGGAGGTGCCCTCAACACATACTTTCGCTTATGATCTGACGCAGGGTGTACAAGCGTTGAAATGCCTTGAAACATTGTTGCTGCATGGGGTCTTGGCACTACTACAGTTGGTGTTCACCGGGTACAGTATCATACACAAGCTCTATTCTGTCGTACGTGCAAACATGGCAGTCTTCCGTTGTGTCCCCGCGTTGTTTCAGAAAAGTTCGGAACTTGGCCGCATGGATACATTTGGGTGCTGCTGTACGTAGTTGGTCTGTCACCACCGAAGGCGTCCGTTGGACCAGTACATACATCAGATATTACAGGGTACTGAATTGAGATCGGGACGGCATGTGTTGGCAACAACCACAGCAACAACAAACACACACCTGCTCCACGTACGACCGCGGAAAATACATGTCCATCGCAATAATCCCAACATTCAAAGGACGGCAAGTCCCGCCTGCTGCTGCTGCTGCTGCTGCTGCCCCCGCCTCGTTTGCATGGAATTCCCTGAAGTTATAAATTACGAAATACACGTACACACGCGTGCATATGCAGAAGCCGTAGATATACGGTCGGGTCACTTGCTATTCGGCAAGTACTTCGTCGCCTGTGTGAGCATCGTTGTGAATGGTAGCCCCACTCAACTCGATCTCCAAACTCCTGTTGACCCACCAACACTACACAGCATCACATAGTTGTTGTTAGTTGTTGTTGTAGTGTACAGCAGGCATTTATACGTGCGGATCAGCGAAGAAAAGGCTAGCGTTCGCGCATTTGAGGATGACTGCAGATCACTTGTACAACGAACGGTCGCCTGCGCATAGCGCTCGTCCTAGTATTAGTTGTACTGCAGTGCTGGGCTTGCACAGAACGTGACATGCTGGAACAATAATGGCAACAGGCCACACACCAATCTCGCATTCTGCATATTTGAGTAACACTCACGCCATATTTCTCCGATGGTCTTGCCCCCTCTAGTCGCAACACTGCCCCCTTGTCGATCGGACACAGCAGTAGGTGTGGGCACTGCTGCTGTCACCTGGCTGGTCTGGTCTGCTACACCAGTGCTGCACGGCTGAAAAAAAAAATGGCGGAGGAACAGAGAATATCGCTTTACCAGGAATTGCAGCACGACCAGCGTACATCCACCCAAGGCTAACGGCTTACAGCAGTAGACTATTGCGATAGCTATCTAGGGTGTAAGATATACTCGCAGCAGTCCAGTGTTATTGGGTTTAGTTTTTTTTTTTTTTT